CAAGATAGCTGCCCTCGTTGTTCTCCACATCACCCTTCCTTTCTTCTTTGGTTGTCGGAAAAAGTTAGGGTCAAATAAAATCCACTACGCTTGTGGGAGGAGTCCACCTACAATCAAAGAGAGAGGAGAACCAATCCCAAATTAGAGCACTAAAAGGACAAGAAATTAATAGGTGATTCACCATCTCACCATTCCTCAAGCAAAGGCTACAGACATGAGGTGACAAGCACCAATTTGGTCCCTTTCTTTGAAGCACTTTCAAGTAGGGGTGGCAATGAGCCGAGCTTTTCACGAGCTGCTCGAGCTCGAGCCTAATTCACTGGCTCAATTATTAAATGAGCCGAGCTCAAGCCTACTAGAGTATATATATATATATATATATATAAAATTACTGAAAATAGTATATATACTAAAAATATTATAATTATTAATTCTTATTTTTTAAAATATCAAATAAAAAATATTCTTACATATAATTTTTTATTTTTATAAAATATTTTTTCTCAAAATCGAGCTCGAGCCTTGTAGAATAGTCTCAAGCGTGGCACTATTCGGCTCGAATCCACCCCTACTTCCAAGGTATTGATTTTTTGGAGAACCACTTCCCAACAAAAAGCCCTTACTTTTGGGAATACCGGAGCGCTCCATACTTCTTTAACAGGAAAGGAGGAAACCGGGTTAAAAGGAAGGACCATAGCATTGAAAAACAAAGAACAAGAAAAACTACCTATAGAAGTTTCAATCCAAATTCTACTGTCAGGAGAAGAGTGGTTAGAAAAACTGAACTTATAAGAGAAAAAATATCATTTGTCGAATCCACTTCTGAGTCCCTCAAACCTCTCCTTAGTCCCAGATCCCAAGAATCCCCAGAAACAAGAAAAGAAGAGATAAATTGAGATTTTTTTCAAAGAAAGGGAATATAGGTTCAGGAATCTATCCTTAAGGGGAGATTCCCCAATCCACAAGTCCTCCCAAAAAAGAATCTTATTACCCACGCAAGCATCATACCTGATGAAAGGAGAGAAGACAGGCAAGATACCAACAATATCTTTCCACGAGGAAAAGCGCGAAGCCCTTGGGTCGAGTCCAGCGTCCCATCCATTTACTGCCATTCCATGAATACTTCTTATCACCTTATGCCATAAACTCTCTTACTCCTTAGGAAACCTCCATAACCATTTGCCTAACAAAGTTGTGTTTCTTATTCTAATATTTCCAATTCCTAACCCCCCTTTGTCTTTCTTTCTAGACACCACTTCCCATTTTACCCTATGATCCTTTTTAGTATCTCCAAGTTCCCACAAAAAATCTCTCATTGTTTTTTCAACCTGGTTTGCAATCTTAACAGGCAATTTGAAGGTAAACAAAAAATACACTAGCAAATTTGCTAGTGTTGACTTAATTAGAGTGATTCTACCCCCTAAAGAGATGTAGTTCCTTTTCTAACCTGCTAGCCTTTTTGAGAATCTTTCCAAAACCGGATACCAAAATCTATCTAACCTCGGGTTTCCTCCCAATGGTAAGCCTAAATACTTAAGAGGCCAATCACTGACCTCACAACCTAAAGATCTAGCCAAAGATGCCACCTCTACTTCTTGCCTATTAATTCCAGCTACACAACTTTTATTCCAATTTACTCTCAAGTTGGAGACCTTTTCAAAATTCTCTACCAAGACCTTTAAATTTTCCAACTCCTCCGGATCTCCTTCACAAAAAAGAATCAAGTCATCAGCAAATTGAAGGTGGGCTACAACTATTCCCTCCCTCCCCACTCTCCACCCTCTAAGCAAATTTCTAGCATCGGCTCTAGTAATCTAAATACTCAACACATCAACTATCAGGGTGAAAAGGAAAGGAGAAAGAGGGTCCCCTTGTCTTAAACCTCTCTTTGCTGGGAAGAAATCCTTGGCTACCCCATTAACTAGAATGGAGTAGTGGCATGAAGAGATATAACCCTTAACCCACATGCACCACCTTTCTCCAAATCCTCTAATTCTCAATACTTCCAGTAAAAAACCCCAGCCCACCAAATCATAGGCCTTCTCCAAGTCCAGATTGCAAATCAAACCCTTTTCTCCTTGTCTTTTTCTATAATCCACACATTCATTGGCAATAAGGATCTGATCAATAATTTGTCTTCCTGACACAAACGCCCCTTGGTTCGGAGAAATCAAAGATGGTAATACCTTTCGGAGATTACCTTCAAAATCCAGCAAAATATGCTTTGAATCTAAGAGAAAATCCAAAGAATAATTGTTGATTTTCTTCTAATAGTAGGGTACTAGAAAATAACAGAAAAAAAAAAATCACGTGTTCCCCACCACTAGTTCCTAAAGAAGAAAAAGAGCATCTATAGAGAAGAACAAAAACTAACTCATTCAATTCTGCTGCTCTGAACAGAAATAAATGACTTTATAGAACTCCTCAGTCCTCATTCCTCAGAGTTTTGGCTGAAGTAGAAATTTGGCAATTACTAAAGATGCAGCTGACTCCTAATTAGAATCCTAAAAACCCATAAGAAAGTAAGAATAGAAACTCAGAAAAATAGTAGTTGGCTTAAAACTAATAATGTCCTAATGCTGTGTTTGGTTTGAAGGAAAAAGTAAGGAAAGGTAGGGAAACCTTTACAAACAATATATGGGTTTCCCTACGTTTCCCTTCCCTTCCCTACCTTTTCCTTCAAACCAAACATAACCTAAATGAAATAGGAAACTACTGACTGTGGACCTTCTACAAATAGCAAACTCCATAAAGAAAATAGCAGGTGATTATAAGCATGGGGCTCAACAATTGCAAGGTTAAAGCCAATGAATTACCTAAACATATAAAAACAAAGATTCAACTATGTCCAGTGGTATACTGTGTCATTCGGCATTCTTCTTTGTTATTTAGGCTCAGTTTGGAAAGAGTACACATACAAATATGTAGGGTGCAAACCATGTATTTTGCATTATTTTGTATGTATTTACACTGTACATATTTGTATCTGTGCCCTTTCCAAACTGAGCCTTATATAAAACAATATACAACAAAATAACAAAAAATAAAGATTTTTATCTGAGAATGTTAAGAATTGTTTTCTCAATATTCAAGTAATATAGAATTATAGATGCGAGATTTGCAAAATGACACATGCCAAGGAGCTGAATTAGAGAAGATGGGAAAAAGTACGTCTTTAGTCTAGACTCTAAACCTCTTTGAAAACTGGCATATGTATGTATGTTTATATGTACTTACAGAGAACAGCATTCTTATTTACTTATAACATTCATATACCACTTTTTTATAAGAGAGTCCCCAAAATGTGCCAAGACAAACTTCAGTAAAAACCCAAACCTCAATCAACTCCCAACGCAATCAAGGCCACATGAGATGGGAGCATGTTATCATGTGCATGGAGCTAATATTTCTCATAGAAACTTTGGAGAGACTGAAATTATGTACTTGTTATTGTTAATGCTGCTACCGTTAAATATGCAACTCACACCTAGGAATAGAACCTAACAAAAATTCAAGGATAGTGAAATTTGCAGACAACCACAACATCAAATTACTGCAGAATCAATCTTATCGTGAATCAAATCTAAGTTTATCTAATTAACAGAAACCACCAAAAGGGTGTTTGTAACTTTGGATGCCATGTGAAACCAAATCATTTCATCTTAGTTTTTAATAGCATTTAACTGACAACATCCTCATCTAAAACGGAACATTTCTACTTATAAATGTTAACAATGGACAGAAATGAATTCAGCTCTTACAATCTTGAAATTATCATGTTCATGTTTTATTCACAATCATATATTCATATATATATACACACACCAAAGTGGAGAAAAACGGTTGCTTCCTGGTGTTCTCAAATTTTCCTAATGTAGCTAGTGATTAATACATGGATGTGATTAATACAATTGGTCCTAAAAGTTTAATGTTCGGTTTCCTTTTTTATTCCTTCTATTTGTATAACTGCATTGATGAACACCCACAAGAAAATGTATGGAGTTCTCAATCGTGTAACCCTTCACTTAAACTATCTGTTATTTGTATTGCTCCATATGGAAAACAGCAAAAACCTGATTCGAATAATCATCATTACTGATCCAAAAGAGGAAAAAATGTGGAATGTTCTATTCCCAAGCATCGAACAAAGAAGGGTTCCAGTATACAGTAAAACAGGGAGAATAATCGAGCAAGATTCCTTGCAGGAACAATTCTCCTATATCCCAAACTAATTGATATATTCAAATCGGCTAAACATAAAAAAGTAGCCGCTATTGATTGGAAATCTACGATCAACGATATAGAGAATAAAACTGGCAAAGGCAAACTTCAATTATACCTGAAACCGCAAACAACAGAGCGAAATACATAAATCACTGATAAACATGAAAAAAAATGATGAATTTTTACGCACAGCTTGCTTGCCGCGGCATCATCGTTGGTGGCCTGAACGGCTGCTGTGTTGCTACGTGAATCTCCCGCCGCTTTCGACATCTTTTTGGCAAAATTTTCAAGTTCGCGGAAGAGAGGGAAAGAGAGGGTCCTCGATTACAGAGACCTCTGTACAAATACAACCTTCGATGTTCAAGTTTCGCGGAAATATGACACAGTACCACGCAGCGTTTACGTCGAGCCTCAAAATTCAATATTCACCGTTGGATGGATATTCACATCTTAAACTTCTTCCAACCGCTAGATGATTAGATGAGCACACGTATGTTGCCACATGTGCGGCTGTAGTGGACTGTTGGAATTGTTTTCTTTTTTTGTGTGTATTTATAAGGTTGCGTTTGGCAAGTCTTTCTGCACGGTCTTCCGTCTATTAGAAGCCCATAAGACCGAAAATCGGTCTATTCCTATTTGGTTTGCATCAGATCTCCCCATCAAAAGACATTGTGTTGAAAAGCTCGGAGAAGCCCAATTTGGGCTGATTTCAGGAAACTAGGATCATAGCTTCTGGGCTGATCTCACACGCATACACAAATGAACTCTAACTCCCAATGCTAAACCCCTCTCATTCGCACACTCGAGACTACATTGCTCATACTTCTCACAGGTTCGATTCCTCCATTCCCTTCATCCTCCTCTTCCTCCTCCTCCTTCTTCAATCTTCTTCTTCTTCTTCCTTCTTCCGCCGTCACCATCCTCCTCTTCATCTCTCTTCCCTGGTTCCACTAATTTTTCCCCTTTTGTAGGAGATTACAAAGCATTTGGTGCTCATGAATCTTGCGGCAGTGGTAGCTTGTTATTTGGTGGTGGTTTGCTCAGGTACAACCCCCATCTCAATATGTACTGTTAGGGTTTTTTTGGAACATCGATTGTCTTTAAACTTCTATGTGTTTACTCCTTTTTTTATGTAGTTAAAAATTGTTAGGTTTTAAACTTGTAATGTTAGGTGATGAATCAATTTTCGGTAATGTATCAATTTTTTGTGTTAAGTACCTCGTCATTTGGTCTGCTTCCAAGTGGCCGATGACTTAGAGGCCGAAGTGGAGAATTTTGCTAGGTGAGGACCTAGATGCCGAGTTAACTGGGCCGAGCTGGGCAGGTTAGGTGCCGAACTCACTAGGCCGAGCTAGGCACGTTAGGTGACGAGCTGACCGGGCCGAGCTAGGTAGGTTAGGTGACGAGCTTACTAGAGTGTTGAGCTGCCTATTAGGTGCCAAGCTGACCAGATGGTCGAGCTGCCTATTAGGTGACGAGTTGACCAGAGGGTCGAGCTGCCTATTAGGTGACGAGCTGACCAGAGGGCCGAGCTGACCAGAGGGTTGAGCTGCCTATTAGGTGCCGAGCTGACTGGAGGGCCGAGCTCCTATTAGGTGCCGAGCTGACCAGAGGGTCGAGCTGCCTATTAGGTGCCGAGTTGACCAGAGGGCCGAGCTGACCAGATGGCCGAGCTTACCAGAGTGTTGAGCTGCTTGGTGGCAAGCTGAATTGATTGTTGAGTTTCGTCATTCTTTAGAGACCTGCAAGGAATCAATGTTAGAGGACCCGAGGTGGCTAACCCGGCGAGGTCGCTCCGATGCTTAAGTCAGTACTCTCATAGTAGACTGCGAGCTAAAAATCACAAAGCATGAGAGCTATAATATGCTTACTTGCCCCCCCAATGCCATTAGGGTTGGTGCCTTTTATATAGGCATTGTTTGGCATGGACTTCACGCACTGCATCCGAGATTTCCGCGAGGTCGTCTAAGTTGTCCGAGATTCCCTAAGGTAACCGCCATGCATGTTGACCACTCTCCGGATCGTTCGGCACGTGAGCCAACTTCAAAGGATCGTGAGAGTGTTAGGATATGCATGCCAAATTTGTCGGCGAGCATGTCTCGCAGGTCACCAAGTCGGCACCTCGGCTAAGCCGCCAGTTCGTGCCTGGGCCAGGCCGCCAGGTGGGACACCATCAACTTGGCTAAGGCAAGTTATTGCCTAAGTGGTTCCGAGTATCACCTATTTGTTCCGATGTGCCATGTGTCACAATATCATTGGAGGGCCAAATCCGCCCTCATCATTAGGTTTGCACATGTCTTATTAGGTTTTTTTTGTTTTGAAACATCGATTATTGTTAGGTTTAAGAACATAAGATTCTCTGGTAATGCTATAGATACCCATGTAATAAGAATTGTGGGCAGACCTGATTTCCACTATTTTTTTCCCTTACCTGTCTTTCTATTGTTTCCCTCAAAGAGACCTTGCGATTGGCAATGTCCCACCTAGATAAAGTCTATTATACAATAATAATGCTAATTGTAAGAAGACCACTATGAGGTTGTATGGATTATTTTGTTTTGGAAAGTTCTCTTTCTAGTTAAAATATAAGGAAAAGTGCTCACCAATAGAAAAAGAAAAAAAGAGACAAAATATGCCTTCAAACTAAAAGTTAGATACATGATGATCCATCGAGTTTAATATATAGTAAACAAGTAGACCCAATACACATATATCTAACAACACAAATTGTCTGAAAACAGGTTATTGTTTTTGTTTGCTACTTATGGGGTGATAATTTTAATTAGTTAAACTTTAAATTTATATTGAAAATTATCCATTATATTACGTTTGCTATATAACAAATATTTATGGCACTATAATAAGGTGGAGGTTGAAAATTGAAATTGAATGTCAAATAACTTGTACTATTGTAGTTTGGAGATAAGCTTAGTACAATCACTATATAGGGAAAAATCCAACTAAGATTTCAGAAATCCATTTAATTTTCAGTAATTGTATATTATTGGTGTAAAAAGAACAAGGCAATTATTCATGGTACTGCAACAAAAGGGAGCTTGAAGTTGAGTGTCAAACAAGCTTATATAATTGATGATTGGAGATAGGCTTGGAACAAATTTAATCAAAAGAAACTTTTCAAAAAAAAGTGGTGAAAATCCCAAGTTATGGGTGTAAAGGCCTATAAATAATCTTTTATTTTTATCAAGAGATATGTAAATAATTTTCTTTAGTCATGAATACAATTAACAACCTAATTCAATTAAAATCTTTTCATTGGTGATTTGATCCCATAATCTTTATGAATGCAATTTTGTGTACATGGGTTAGATTGGATAACAACAGTAGTATTTCTCTGAGGCTGCAATTGGTATCCCAATTGTTTGAATTGATGAAACATGGAGCTCTCTTCTATTTACCAAAATTTCATATCAATTGGTTCTGCTCACCTTGCGTTTATCAAATTTCTGATTACAAGGCACAATAAATAATTAATAATGTGGGGTAGTAGCAGGTAGCTAATAGAACTATAAAAGCTTTCCTTGTAACTATAGAAAAATAGGCTCCACACATAATTTCATATTATGCAATTAGGTATGTACAGTTTACAGTATACTTCAGTACCAGAAATTTCGTTGCCCCATTACAAATGATGAATACTTTTTGATGAATCAATTTTTGGTGATGTATCAATTTGTTGTGTTAAGTACCTCGTCATTTGGCCTGCTTCAAGTGGACGATGACTTAGAGGCCGAAGTGAACTTTTGTTGGATGAGGACCTGGATGTCGAGCTGACCAGGCCGAGCTGGGGGCAGATTAGGTGCTAAGTTAATTGGGCCGAGCTGGGCAAGTTAGTTGTCGAACTGACTGAGCCAAGATAGGCAGGTTAGGTGACGAGTTGACTGGGTTGAGCTAGGCATGTTAGGTGACAAACTAACCAGAGTGTCGAGCTGCCTATTAGTTGCCGAGTTAACTAGAGAGTCGAGCTGCCTGGTGGCGAGCTGGATTGATTGTTGAGCTTCGTAGTTCTTTAGAGACCTGCAAGGAATCCATGTCAGAGGACTCGGGGTGGCTAACCTAGTGAGGTTGCTTCGATGCTTAAGTCAGTACTCTCATAGTAGACTGCGAGCTAAAAATCACAAAGTAATATGAGATCTAGAATATGCTTACTTGCCCCCCCCCCCATGCCATTGGGGTTGGTGCCTTTATATAGGAATTGTTTGGCATGCGCTTCACGCACCGCATCCGAGATTTCTGCGAGGTCATCTAAGTGGTCCGAGATTCCTGGAGGTAACCGTCATTCATGTTGACCACCCTCCGGATCGTTTGACACGTGGGCCAACTTCCAAGGATCGTGGGAGTGTCAGAATATGCATGCCAAATTCATTGGCGAGCATGTCTCGCAGGCCACCAGGTCGGCGCCCGTGTCAGGTTGCCAAGTCACGCCTGGGTCAGGCCGCCAAGTGGGACACCATCAACTTGGCTAAGGCAAGTTGTCGCCTAAGTGGTTCTGGGTGTCACCTAGTTGTTCCGAGGTGTCATGTGTCGCAATATCAATGGAGGGCCAAATCCACCCTCATTGTTAGACAGTGTATGCCCTTAGCTCCAATCATAATGATGTAACTTATGACATTTATTGTAAATAAATAAAGTAAATATTTCATTCATGTTTTAGTGGTGTGTTTCTGTGTAATACCCTTAAACTAGACACTTATAAGACTCGTGTTAGTTTAGAATGTTCACAGTCGTTGGATAAGTCTGGGGAGATTTATCCTGCTAAGGCTGACACTTATGTGCCACCAAGTGTTGGGGTGGCCTGTCTCAACTGCCAGTGTGAGACTTGGGGTACATGCTGTGTAGGTTTACTTGAAACCTTGAACCRTACCAAATTTCCAGTATTGCCTTGGACCTTGGTGATTAGTGGGCAAAACTGAAAAGTTACACCTGACCCCTAGACTTGATTATGATACTGCATTAGGTGTCGGATTGTATTGTCTTTGATAATACCAATCAGTGAGATCCTTAGCGGGGTTCAAAACTTAGGTATGTTGGGAAAGTCTGATAATTCATATGAGTGGGTGATCATAGTGACAGGATCAGCCCCATTGTCGGACAAAGGTAATGATTGGGGGGATTCACTCTCTCTGATGGAAACCAAGTATGCCGGCAGCCGATTTCAATCGTTGAAAATTATTTTGCAGAATATATTTATATACGGATATACATATACATATTATGGTTACAAAATATTTGCAAAATGTTTTAATTCCCGGGATCAGTGTGAGTAGAGAGTGCAGCACTGTTCCTTGCAGCCGAGGGAAAAGTCCTCTATTGTCGGGTAGTGTTTGATCAT